CCAAGGGTATGATATTTACGTAGTAGAGATGTACTTCCCAACATACTCATCCATGGAACACTCTGTGTGTGTGTGGGGGGGGGGGGGTTGCTTCTTAACATCTCCCAGAAATGCTGCTCAGGAGATGAAGTTTTAGAGCATCCAAACTGGACCATTTCCTTAACGATGAACCTGTTACCAGAAAGTATGTTGTGTATCAATGTCTAAGTTATAAATCCCACGTGCAAGGCTACAACTGCTACCACAAACAGTTGAGTTGAGTTAGACTCAAGAGTAATTGAAGTCAACTTTGAGGCTGAAACTCTTGCAAAGAACAAGTTCTTCCTCCAAAGTTCTGAAAAAAAAAATCCACCTGGACCTTTGACCCAGAAACATCTTGCTTGCCCCAGAAACATTCTCCATTGAAAAACAAAAGAAATGGCTGAACTAAGTTTCCTAGTTTCAACTCTTTTCATCTTTAGATGAGAAAAGGACACAAGAGATAGCTTCTCACCATTGCATTCATGCAACGTATTTCCAGGTTCTCCTAATGCAGTGTGGAAAAAATAATGAGCAGAAAAACACCTTTTGAAACCCTGGTAGTTCCCCCAACAAATGATATTTTTGTCAGCATAAAATTCTTGCCAATGATTTATGAATGTTTTGAATCCCCCGGGTATTTTATCAATGAATAAGGTAGAAAGGAAATGTGATTCTGACATTCATTCCAAAAAAAAATTTACTGATCAATTATTATGTGCCAGTGTTGAAGGTAAAAATGTTGAATTCCAGAAGATGAAAAAAAAATAATCTATCAAGAAGGTTGCTGTACCTTTGCAAAGAATAATCATAATTTAAAAAAAAAAAGCTATGACAGGAACGTTATCAGGTCTACCAGGACACCCTTAGCATAAAAGCACATGGTAGATGCTCAATACATATTGAGGAAGTAAGTGTGGAAATAAATGAATATATGGACTGCATTGGAATGGATGTCTTGACATGCAAGACTGGGGAACACAAAGGACTGGGAATTGAGAAGGACATTGCAAATGGGCACCCGGACATAGACATATTCTAGATACATGGGGAGGATAGGAGGGAGCCCTCCTAAGTGAGCAAGGTGGCAGGAGAGGAGGGGTGTGTTCCAAGGCAATGACTAGACCTGTCTGACCTGGATGGGGAGTTTGGGTTGGGACACCGTGTTCCCACCAGCACAAGTACATTGGGAAAAGTCTAAGAGAAACACTAAATGTCACATTATGGAGCAAGAATTTCATCCTAAATATGAAAGGAAACCACAGAAAAAAAGCTTTGACCTGAAGAGAGATAGATAAAGGCTCTTTTCAGGAAGAAAGATGTCTCGTCATAGATCACAAAGGGGGAAACATTCATTAGCTAGGTATTGAATAACGACCCTCTCCAGTCAGAAGTCCCCGGGAACACAGGTACAAACCAAGGCTTCGGCATTTTATTCATGCAAGGAACTGAGGGGACAACGCCAGAGAGCAGCAACTATGACATTACAGAGGGCAAGCCGCTGCTGCTTAACAGCCATAAGATTTGAGGCAAGTTACTTAACCTTGCCAAACCTCAATTTCCTCCGTTGCAGAATGGGGATAAGAATAGTGCCTACCGCCCAAGGTTGGTGGTGAGGATTAAATGAGATGAGGAATGTCACCTACTGTTTACAACGTACTTGACCCACAGCAAATGGTCAAAACGTATTACTTATTCATATTAGACTTGAAATCACAATTAACACTGCATGCCCTCGGCAGGTCTTTGTTAAGAAGATTATGAGCTATGAACGAATGATGCTAATGAAAAGGAAAAAAAAGATGCTAATGCTTTTGCCTTCTTGTGAGATTTTGGAAGACGTTTTGAGGGACTGTTGCAATCAGAATTAATATTCTTGCTTCTTTCATTCCTATTTTGTCACATTTGAGTGCCTGTAATTGTATACCACAGGGATGTAATTTTTTGTGACATCAAAGGCCCATTGGTGGCCACCCTGCCTCTTGCTATCCTAATTCAATTTCCATTTTCTGGTGACAAAGTTAGAAAATGGCAATGTCAACTCATTCTCAGTGTACACCTGTAGGGGCTTGTCTAAGGTCACACAGCCACCAGCCACCAGCCACCGAGGGAGCAGGACCTCGAATGCAGGTTTTCTTATTTCCAGGATGGAGTCCACTCACACCCATGCAATGGCATTTTCCACCCTGACTAAAGTGTGCCAACTAAGCAGTGATACTAAGGTGACAGCAAGTCCTGAAGCGTCCCCTTGAAGAGACAGAGGAATGCATAGGTGTTTACTGGCATGTGGCAAATTTATAGCGTTCACTTTCCAAATGAGTCAGATACACACATTCTAATGGCTTCATTCAATTTTTGCATTAAATATAGGAAATCTTATATAGTAACCCACATGCAAATATTTGAAGTGGTGCTTTTCAGCTCACAATGTTTTTCCTGAACTTTCTAATTAACAACCTGAATCAGTGTGGAAACAGTATAGAAAGCTTTTGTATTTTGGCATCAGAAATTTCCAAGCTGTGTACCACAGCATGAGGGGATCTCATGCTGACATCAGTACTCCCCCAGCTGATACGCAAGGCTCTGCTTATAAAAGACAGCCCCAGGTTGCGGAACACATGTCTAAATATAGACCAGAGGCTCAAACCTCTTAATCCTTCTTAGCAGAAGTCATCAAACAGTAACCCAAAATAACACTCCATGAGTTTGTCTTGGTTTCGGGTCAGAAGATATCTCTGGTCAAGAAGGTATGACTTTGCAACTTCCCATAAAAGTTAGGAATTATTCTATGAATACAATGCCATTTTATGAATGCTCCAATTGCCTGTCATTAGCACTAAATACTATAGCTATCTCTAAGTGTGTCTCCTACAACAAAACTCAGCTTAAATGTTCTCGTGGAAAGAGCTTCCATAATTGGAGTCTATGTTCTCAAAATGATCTGCAACTGACTTTCCGATTCCAGTACTTTGCATCTTGCGAAGGGTTGACATGCTAACCTGTCACTTTCACAACCAGCTGTGGTCCACTTAGAGGCAGGAATTGTCCAATTATCTTTTCTGGAGGACAAGAGGCATCTGGTTTTGGGGATGTTCCCCACTCCTTGGATGGTGGAGCAGACCAGATGGTTACCCACAACAGACACTATACAAAAGATAAGGGGGTGAATGCAAATCAGAGCCAAGGAGGGTCACCACAGCAGTACCAAGGTGAGAGGGACACGACCAGTGTTAGCTCACAAGAAAGAGTACACATCCAGAGGTGAACGTTGAGGATGATGCCCCAGGCCAGGGTGATGAAGAACAGACAGGAGAGTGAAGTATGAAGGAGAATGCGGTAGAAAGGGTTAGGACAGAGGTAGAGTGAGGTGGCAGAACGGAGGGCTGTTTCCATGGATCTTCAGCTCTCTAGTGATGGCTTAAAGATAAAGGAGAAAGTCGGCCATTGGAAAGAGGCAGGGTTAGACTTGAGATCATTCCTTTCTGCATCTGCTGTGCCTGGCACACTCCCTGGAACAAACTGGGTAGTTGATAATTATATCCTGAATAAATGAAGGAATCAATCAACCAATCAACCAAAGAGTCTTCTAAGGGTTGACCTACATATTCCAACAATAATCTCTGCCTCTGCCTCATTTGTACAATAATTTGACCATCTTCTGTTGTAGCAATTCTCAGGGCTTGCTTTTATGTATCTATGGGTCTCCCCCAATTAGATTATTTCCCCATCCCCAGGAGAGCAGCCATGAGTCCTCGCAGAGAGCAGAATGCCATATCTTGCACAGAGTAAGTGTTCTATAAATGCCTATGGAGTTGCACTGAACAATGCTGAATTTAAATGAATTGCTTTTCAGTACAAATTAGTTTAGTGGTTTGAAATAAGAGTTTTGTTTTAGATCAAGGGTAAAAATAGACACAGGGAAAAAAAAGAATAAGCACATGAAATGACACTCAACGTCACTAGTCATTAGAGAAATATAAATCAAAACCACAATGAGCAATCACTTCACACCCATTAGCATGGATATCATAAAAAAAAAAGGGACAAAACCCCAGAAACTAATAAATACTGGAGAGGATGTGGAGAAATTAGCATGCTGTGCATTGCTGATAGGAATGTAAAATGGTGCAGCTGCTGTGGAAAATGGTATGGCGACTCCTCAAAAAATTAAAACTAAAATTATCATAGGATCCAACAATCCCACTCCTGGGCATATACACAGCAAAAGTGAAAACAAAGACTTGAGCAGGCATTTGTATACCCATGTCCACAGTAGCATCATTTAGGATAACCAAAAAGTGAAAGCCACTTTCAACAGATAAACGTGGCACATACACCCCATGGAATAGTACTCAGTCTTCAAAAGGAAGGGACTTCTAAAGTATGCTACAACATGGATGAACCATACAGACATTATGCTAACTGAAAAAAGTCACTAAAGAACAAATAATATATGAATCCATTTATCTGAGGTACCTAAAGTATACAAATTCATAGAGACAGAAAGCAAAATAGTGATCATGGACTGGAAATGAGAGGAATAGAAAGTTATTGCTCAAGGGTACAGAGTTTCAGTTTTGGAAGATGAAAAAAGTTCTGGAGATGGTTACACAGCAATGCGAATGCACTTAATGCCACTGAAGTGCACACTTAAAAATCACCGAATGGTAAATTTTATGTTATGTAACTTTTGGCCACAATTAAAAAATATACACCTTATTAGCAGAATCTTAAAAAATTGATAAATCACTCTGCCTTCCTAGAGGTTTACCATTTTGGCTATTTCCCTTTTTTATAGCAGTTTTAGAAGAGAAGAACTAATGACCACCAAAATGCATACAACCACACACACACACACAAACACCTCAACCACAATGTACTCACACACAGACACACACCACATATGTATACATTATTTTATAGTAAGGCTTTTTTTCTAAGCCAGATTGCTGACTCTAATAATAGAAGCCAGGATATCTTACCTCCAAGACCTCTCAGCTGATTATCTTCCAAAGGAGCAGGCAGGCTTTGTTCCCTCTCCGTTGCAAAGGACTCATTCTCATGGAATCTCCCACATCCTTTGAGTACCAAGACTCAAAAAGCAGAAATAAACCTAAGAGTGAGGCAGACAAGGACAGTGAATGTTAAGTCTCCTCCTGGTCTCACAGAGAAAAGAGGTGTTGCTCTTCCCCTCTTACCAGAGACTCACCTTCAGTAAAACTCACTCAGAAGCAGGAAGAAAGTTAGAGAGAGGTCTTACGGGCCACCTCCCCACACGGGACTCTGATGGATGTCACATGTATGACCACATCACTATGACAATGAGACATCTGGCTCTGCAGCCAATCCTGGATACTGAACCCAGATCCCAGATTCAGACCTACTCAAGAATTCAGAGAAGGTCTGTGCTTCTGATCATGGGCTTAATGAACAAAGTAACCACGGCACAGAATTGGAGGCTGGAAAGGACCTTACAGCCCCTGCTCACTTCAGAGGGGGTTCCCCCTCCTCTTCACCAGCATTATCCCCCATCCTGCACACCCAATTCAAGTCCCACCCTGTTCATAAACCTTCTCCCAATCAAATTCTCAGGGATTTCTTCCCTCTCAATTCCTGAATTTGTCCTCTAAAATTATTGTAATTCCAGACAGGAAAAATGAAGTTCTAAAGTCACAGGAAGTGGAAAGTTGTAAGGAGGAATTTAAAGAAAGGATGAAGATCCCTTCCAAACCTAGGTATTTTCTACATTTCATTATACTTTAAGATAAATAAACCGTTAACCCAGGAACTTTCAGAGAAGTAAAGGCCACCTTGGTGTGGTGTGGTTATTTCACTAAATAAGTTAAAGTTTTATTTAAAAAATAAAACTGTTAAATTATTAAAAATATATTTCTCATTCAAGTAGCTTTTACTGAGCACCTATAAGATGCCAGGTACTGCAGTAGAAAAGGGGATCCAGAGATGAATTATGGAGGTATCTGTCTTTGGGAGTTTTGGAGACAGGTAAATAAACAAATAATTGAAATAAACTGCAGTAGGCACCATGACCGATGTTTTTGAGATGCTTCAAGCATTTCCAGGCATAGAGGAGACACTCAGTAATCGTATGTCGAATTAATCAATGAACAAATTAACTAATAATTCATAGGTAGCTAATGAATTAATTAGACTTTGCCTGAGAAATTTAGGGAAGATATTTATCAAAGATTTGGATTTAAACTGGGTCTCCATGCATTCATTGATTCATTCAAGTGATCAGTCATTTATTCATGCGTTGAGCACCATGATTGGTTACTAGGCACTGTGAGAAACTGAGATAAATAAAGAAGGGCCTTTACTCTCACTAATTATAGAACAGGGTTGCAGCGAACGTTCTGTTGTACATGTTTTATTCTGATCTCTGTGTGTTCCATTTGAATGTAAGGCCCATGAAGGCAGGATCATTCTCTGGCTTTCTCTCTGGCACATTTGAAATGCCTACAGCAGTGCCTGGCGCCAGGTAAGCCCTCCACAACTAGTGTCAGAGTAAATGAACGAGTGATCGGCCGAACAGGTGGGCAGTGCATCCACACCGTTGTGAGAGCCACGTCTCCTTAGCAACATTTCAGGAGCAGATGGAGGAAGAACTCAAGAAGGAAACAAGGAAGGACCTGGCAGGAGGAGAACCAGAAGGGTGCTCTGTCAGAAAAGCCAACAGAGATCAGAAATTCCAAAAGGAAAAGGGGGTTGGCCTGCCTTCATCCAAGAATCATTTTTGATCAACCACTTTGGGCCCCAGGGCTGAGACAAGCTGGGAGCCTTGGGTGCAAACTTTCCCGGGGGCACTCACTCTCAGAAGCATTCAGGTTCAGTGTTGGCGCCTGAAAGCAGCCCTTCCTTAATTCTGTGTCCTCAGTGTCTCACTGGCCTTGCTCCCAGCCCTGCTAGATGCTCCCAGCACTGTGCTAGATGACAGGGGGGATCACAGTCAGTAAAACACAATCCCCTCCCTCAAGAAGCTCAAGGTCGAATGGGTAGAAGACCTAAAGCCAGTGATTACAATGCAGAAGCTGAATTTTGCCAGGAGCAAGCAGAAGGAGCAGGGGAATGAGGCTAGGAGCACCTCATGGCATGATGCTTGAGCTGAGACTAAGGGGCAGCCACACACTCAGAGAGGGAGAAGGAGGAACAGCACTCCAGGCAAGGGAGCAGGATCCACAAAGGCGAGGGGGCTTGACAGTGCACCAAGTGTTTTGAAAGGGTGATGTGGGGGAGCCCGAAGTGAAAAAAGGTTGGTAGCGAAGGCGGCTAGGAATGTAGCCTCCCGTTATTCGTCCTTTCAGGCTGGAACTTCATCTTCATTTTCACAGTTCTATTAGTATCTGGGGCAGTTTTCCTTGGAATCGAGGTGCTGCCTAAATTAATTGGGAGGCCCATCACTCTGTTCATCCTGCCTGGTCGTGGCCTCCCAGAGAACAAGGAGGCGGCCCCAGCTGAGTCTCTGCCGCTCAGTCAGATGTATTTTTAGCCCCAGCAGAAAATAACAGCAGTGTGCATTTAATAAAAATATCAAGCCCTGGGAATGATCTAGTGCCAGTGTTGGAGCAATCAGGGATGGAATATGTTTCCAATTGAATTACTACTGTGGTCATAGTTATAAAAAGAGAGAGGGAGGAGAAAAAATGTTAGGCTGGTCAGTTTCTCGGGAGCATTTAATCTTGGTTCACTCTAATTTTAACGTTCAAAGACACATGAGCCAACTCTGCCCTTAGGAGTTATTTCAGGGGAACTGGCCAAAGCCTGCAACTTGCAGTCGGCACTGGGCAGCCCTACTCTCTGAAGTTTCCCTTTTCTCTCTTCTATTTCTATCCTCCTTTTCTCCCTCCTCCCAGTCTTGGCCTCCACTAGTTCTCCTGCTCACACGCTCATGAGACACAGTGTGAATAATTACAATGAGGGTAAATTTAGACTCTGACAAAACCAAAGGGTGTGAGCTCACGAACTGGGCTCAGGGAGAAGTGGAGACAGTGCAGCATCAAGAAAGAGCCTAAGAGGTGCAAACTACCAGTTGTCAAGGAAATAAGTCACAGGAATATATACGTGCTGCACAGGGCATATCGTCAACTTTGTATGGTGTGTAATCCATGAAAGTATTGAATCACTATGTTGTGCACCTGAAACTAATATAATATTGAACGTCAGCTATACTCCAATTTAAAAAATAATAATTTTTAAAGAGAGACAGAGCCTATGGGAGTTGTAAGTACCGTGCTCCCCAACAGCTTCCAGAAAAAAGGTCTCCATTTTTAAAAAATTGTCATAAACTCCCTCCAATCTGATCGCGCTTTACCTCCATAGCATGGTCTTTCTCCTTATTCCCCGCATACCTTTTTGTCATGTTCTCTAGTGAAAAAAATCATAAAGGTTAGCTGTTTCATATGAAGGGCCTCCTTTGCACCAGGCACTGGTTGAGCAATTACAGAAGTTATGTCATTTCATCCTGAAACTGACATTGAAAAGCAGACACCATTAGCTATGTCACTGGTGAGGAGGCTGAAGCTTGCACAGGTTAAGCCTCTTTCCAAAGATCACTAGCTAATAAGTGGCAGAACTTACATTCTGGATCATTCTAGAGCCTGTCCACCCTGTCCACTGTCTGAGCCTGATTTCCCAATTTGAGCTAGTTCCTTACAATGCTATGGATCTGCACAGCCCTAAAATCTTACCCATGCTGGCCCTCTTTGAAATGTCTTCCCATCCATTTTCCTAGAATTCTCTCCTAAAATATCTTAGTTTTTGTCCACATCTGTTGTAGTATGTATTATTATTAGAATTGATAATAATCACTATTATATATTCAATTCATATTGTATGCCAGGCATTGTTCTGAGTGCTTTGCATGTAATTAGTAGCTGATGTAATTAGTTACCTACCACACTGTAAAATGGAGTTAATGAATGCTCCTTGCCTACAGGGTGGCAATGGGATTGTACAAAAATGTACGTAAAGTGCATGCTTTGTTTCCTTCTGCTCACTATCGTTCCTCTCTGGGTCTGCCCATGGATCATTTTGTTATTTTCTAAGTAAGGGCAGATGATGACTAAAGGAGAAGCATACTGCCCTTGCTAATCCTTGAAAGAAGGTCTCCCTCCTGGGACTAATGCCTGGGTAGGTGACTACCCTGTCCTGGGGATGCTGAGTGGTCCCCAGGAGTACACAAGAACAGACTTCTGTGATGCTAAATGTAAGCCGACTTCATTCACCTGCTTCATGCTACTCTGGTACCTTGTAGCTGTTGGCTGGGAGAGGGCCAAAGCAGAACACTCATTTAATAAAATGACTCAGGCCTTGAGCTGAGAGAATAGAGGAAGTAAACTGGTCAGCTTTTCTAGTTACTCCCAAGAAGGGCGTGTGAGGGCAGAGCATCACTTATGGGTAGAATGCATCTCATCCAGTCTGCTGAAAATGCACGGCCCAGCGCCTGGCACAGAGAAAACACATAATAAATATATTTTTACATATGTTGACTTTGAAATTATTTTGACAACTATTTTTTGAAATATTAGGGATTAATCATATTCTTATTTCAAATACATTTGCCTACAGATACCTCTTATTTTTCCACCAATATGGAAAAGCACAAACTAGAAACTAGGCTTCACTTTAAAATAATGAGACCTGTTTTCAAATCCCTTGAATGGAATGAAAGCCATCGTCACCTTCACTAACCACCTGTCATGTACTGGCTTTGTGACCTTGTTTTAGTCACTTACCCTTCTGACCCTCAATTTTCTAATCTGTAAATTGGCAATAATAATCTTTGCCCATCTACATTATAAGGCTGTTTGAGGAGCAAAATAACATTCAATGTGACAATGCTAGATAAGGTCAATTGTACGGGGTGTACTTGCTGGAACTACTTATCATTAATCTTGTTCACTGTTTGTTTAAATTGGACATAAACTTGTAAAAAAAAAAATCTTGTTTACTGTTCTTACCAGCAGCTTCATCAGCTGTTCAGAAATTTGACTTTGACTTCTTGTCTCCATATGTACCTAAAATTAGTTGGAAAACCCAGTCCAAGAATAGAGCAGGAGATTTCTAAGTCAGACAGACCTGGGTTCAAACCCAAATACCCTCAC